AAGCACAAATTTAAACTTGAAATTCGTATTTTATTAGTTATTGAAGTTGTAACTATTTAAACTGTATGTTGCATGTTTTGAATGAGATTTCAATTATTATGAGTTTACAAATTTTTGTTATGCACAACTTCTGACTAAAATGCACACAACTATGCTTTTATGCACAAGTTTATTTTGACAGTGATCTTACCTCATACCAGAGTGTTTGCCAGTTTTGGGTACTCTAGCCAAGCTGAGTTTTGCTGAGTCTGACTGAGTCTTTGTTTTTTCGCTGAGCTTAACCTTGTTTTTGTCTTTGCTTTTCGGCAGGAAGTCATCCTGCAACTGGATTTTTCACCTTTTTCCCCTGGAGGGACTGTTTGAGTCTCACACTGAGTAGTGGATTAACCTCCAAAAGTTCCGTTCAAGTTCTCCTGTATTTCCGAGTAACAGTCCTCTCATACTCCTCTGGGTCCAACGAAGGTCTACCTGTCCACTCTCCAACGAGTCCCCTCTTTACTAGATCAACCCGCACTGACTGGATTTGAAGCGAGAGAAGAACCCCCCCAAACGTGAGTCCCTCACTAGCATTATCCTTATGACACCAAAGATTCCCATGGTCTCTGAACTAATCATTGTGATATCCTCTCCAGACTTTCTAGTTCCTGTTCACCAACTCTCTGAGTTCCAGATCCAACCCCTCTACCCTTACCACATTAAAACTGTTAAACCTTTGCCTTCCTCTCTGAGTAGTTCTCTGCATTTTGGGTCAGATCCTTAAATAAATCATGGCAGGAAGTGGTCCTGATTAACATTAAAAAGGCATTTTATACATCTCCAATCTGCCACATCATCATATTTTACATCATACACATTAGCAGATGATTAGATATCCACAGCTCCAGCTTTATCAAAATAGGACACTGCTCTCATTACATTTCCAAATCGTTGTCGCGTACAAAATGAATATTGTAATTGTATATCCAGACAGAGGAACTGTCCTAATTAGATTAAAACATCAGTTCTGACGCGCAACAGGCAGCTGTTTCCCTGTGAAAATCTGTTCCCCCTGTGTCGGGAGCGTGCATTGCAGTCAGAGAGGCAGGCGGATCTGACCATTTTTAAGGCGCTCCTGATCATTTTTGGGTAAAAACAGCTCATATAATCATGTCAACTATGTAATATTCAGTTTAATCGGTTGCTCTTTTTACAAATGTGTAAAATAAATACATTAACGAGATCTTCTTACGCTGTTTTGTGTGTTTTTTTTAAACACCAAGAGAATCGTTATTTCTCAAACTTTTGTCCTTTTGACCTGACAGAAATAAACGTCAGTCACCAAACAGATTTCCAACACGTAGTATATTTTTAATTTTGAATTGCTGATATAAGAGGATGGAAACTGGCTGATAGCAGGGCACACAAATTAAGACGTCCTGCCAATATGAGAGTGTAGAATTTTTGGTTAATCCCCTTCTAATGTAAAATATGACAGATTACTGGATTAGGGACATTTCTAGTATTACATATCACACATATCAATTTTAGAGAAACAGTTGCTCTTAATTTCCCAAAGATATGGGAGGAGGAGAGGAAAGAATGGATGTTTCAGCTGCCTGAAATAATCTGATCCCCCTCCATAACATGGGAAGAAAGTGAATCACCTGCAAGTCCTTAACTGTGCTTATTTCCCTCACCATCAACAACAAATCCTGTGGATTTGGTCATATTTACTCTTTATTTGCAAAAATAAAGAAGGGGAACCATATATTTCAGTTTACTGAAATAATCTGTTCCCCTTCCATAACATGGGAAGAAATTCATTTACCTGCAAGTCTTTAACTGAGCTTATTCCTTTCTTCATCAACAACAAAACATGTGGATTTCGTCATATTTGCTTTTTATTTGCAAAAAATAAAGTAGGGGAACAGATTATTTCAGTAAACTGAAACAGATTATTTCAGTAAACTGAAATAATCTGATCCCCCTCCATAACATGGGAAGAAAGTGAATCACCTGTAAGTCTTTAACTGTGCTTATTTCTCTCTTATTTTTTTCTGTTTCAACTACATACAACTTCATATGATATATAAAATTATATATAACAATACAACTTCAAAGTATTTCTTTATTTTTTTTCCCAAGTTATGGGGGGAACTAAATATGTCAGGTGGCTAAAATATATTTTTCCCCTCTAATAACATAGCAAATAATAATCAAATTTGACCAATGGATTTGATGTTGATGAAGAGAGCAATAGGCACAGTTAAAGACCTGCACATACATGAATTTCTTCCCATATTATGGAGGGGTAATAGATTATTTCAGTTTACTGAAATAGTCTGTTCCCCCCTTTTAATTTTGGTAAATAAAGAGTAAATATTACCAAATCCACAGGATTTGTTGTTGGTGGTGAGGGGAATAAACACAG